TTTTCACGACAGTGAAACCAGACTTTTTATGCACTACCTGTGTAGGGCTGACCCATTTATTATCAGATATAGGATATAAAATATCAGCGTCTAATAGTTTAAGTACTTCAGCCCAGACTATTTCTTTAAAATGTGGATTCAACCTTCTTTGTGGCTGTCAGAACGGTTTGGAGTCTTCTTCCAAGTATATACAATTAGTATAAAGAAAAGGACTTATACCCTTTATATCTGCTACTGTCCAACCGATTGCACTTTCATGATTTTTTATAACTTCTATCAATTGCTTGTCTTGAGATTTTGACAATTTTGAAGATATTATCACTGGATGAGTTTCATCCTCCCAAAAGAGGACATATTTCAAGTCAGTTAGAAGAGGTTTCAATTTTGGTTTGGTAACTATAGCTTTGGACTCTACAGACTTAGTTTCAAAAGGCAATAACTCTTCAACTTTTGGAATCCATGTTTCAATAGTTGACATATCTACAGACTTAACATTTTGTACATAATCTAATGCATGTGACTCTTTCTTAGTACAAACATTTTCAAATAGATCTTGAGTTAATGACTCAATACAATTTACTTCATTCAATTCTTCTTCTTCTATGGGTTGCTTAGTAATATCAAACACATTCAATTCCAAATTCATATTCCCAAATAAAATTTTTATAATTCCATTCTAATAATTACTCAATGCATTTGATGTATCTAGGAATGGTCATCCTAAAATGAAAGGGATTTGTATATAGACATGCAAGAATGGTTGGGTATCCAATATAATTAAATCCACTGGAAAATAAAACTTATCAACTTGAACGAGTGCATCCTCCACAACTCGACGTGAATTTTTCATAGAACAGTCTGCCAACTACAATGTGACATTAGTGGGTTTAATTCACCTAATCCTAATTGCTCATAGACAGAATATGAAAGCTAATTAACACTGGCTCCAAGATCAAGTAGAGCTTGCTCAATCCGAAAGTTTCTGATTATGCATGAAACAATAGGACTGCCAGGATCTTTGTTCTTTAGAGGTACCTCGCACTGAATGATAGCAGTACCCTGTTCAGTTAAAATTGCTCTTTTATGTACATTGATCTTTCTTTTAATTGTGTAGATATCTTTTAAAAACTTGGCATAAGATGGGACTTTCTTGATTGCATCTAATAGGGGGTGTTAATCCTTACTTGCTTAAACAACTCAAAGATTTCAGCATGATTGTTCAATGGTTGAGGCTTCTTGAGTCTTTGAGGAAAAGGTAAAGGAACAAGACTTCATTTTTCTTTATCATTTGGCAACTCTGTTTCCTTTTCAATCAAAGGTTTAGGCTTAATTAGTTCATTTACAGGGATTGACTCAATTAGTGGCTCAAGAGTTTGGCTTTAATGGTCTTGTCTATCACTTTACCACTTCTTAGTGTGGTAATTGCTTACACTTGACTCAAAGAAGGTTCGAAAGACACAACATTAGCCTAATTTTCACCTTGTGGAGGTTAAGGATGAGATGAGAATTTTCCCTTCTCTATTGTGCTCAAAGACTGGGTCAATTTGGCTAGATGACTATTAATATCCTCAATATTCTGTGTAGTTCAAGCTTTGAAATCATTGAATGCATGGGTAGTCTGAGTATTAATATGGCTACCGAGTCTAGAGTTGTGCTGAAGGTGGACCTAGTGGCTGACACAAAGGCTGTGTGTATTTTTAGTTAAATTCAGGTGATTCCGCCACCTTGGGTTATAGGTTTCAGAATAGGAATTGGGATGAGGTTTGTGGAAATTTGAAATGGCATTAGTTTGTTCCATCAAGACTTGTTTGAAGGCTGGATTGGTGGGACATTCCCCTGTGGGATGTCATGACAATGCACAGATTCCACACAATTGATTAGAAGGTGACACAATAGAAACTTTATTGACCTTTTTCATCTCTAAAGCATCAATATTTTGAGAGAAAGTAGCCATTATGGGCCTTAGGTCACCATCCTCCTTTAACACGTATTTTCCTCCTTGGGATGAAGATGGCTTAGTTTTCAACAATATTTGGTGAGGCCGAGTCCTAGATTTGGGAACTCTCAGAAATGGTATCAAAAAAATCGAATGCCTCATTGGGATTCTTACCCATGAATTCTCCCTGGGCCATCATTTCAACAAACTGACGCAGTGCGGATAGGAGGCATCATAGAAGGAACCAACTAAAGTCCAACTTTCAAATGCATGATCTGGGCTAGCATGGAGAAGATCCTTAAATCTCTCACAACATTGATAAAAAGTTTCTCCCTTCTTTCACAAAAAAATTCATGATTTAACGCCTCAATGAATTAGTATGGTGCATAGAAAAAATCTTTTTTAGAATTTCAGTTTGCAAAACATGTCAACTTGGAATAGATTGAGCATTTAAAGAATTTAGCCACTGTTTAGCCTTATCCTTCAAAGAGAAAGGAAAAATTTTCAATCGGGCCATTTCAGAATTATTTTGCAATGCGCCACATACTTCCTCAAATTCTTTCATATGCTAATAAGTGTTTTCAGACTCAACACAATGAAATTGTGGTAAAAGATGTATTGTCCCCGTTTTAATGTTAAAATTTGGAGCATTAGTGGAAAAAGCAAAACTTAATAGGACACTAGTGCATGTGGGATGCAAGTATTCTCTAAAAGGTCGAACATTCTGAACTACTTCTTGTTCCCTCTTATTATTATTAGTAATATTTAAATCAAAAGAATCTGATGATGCTTCTGACGTTGAAGATGACGAAGAAAAAGGACTGAACTAATTTATAGACCCTACTGATGACTTAATAGACATAAACAATGAAAATATGACAAACAGTGTATACACATATAATACAAACCAGACAACTTCATTGTTTATTTTGAAATCGCCATTATTTGATAATTTTATGCTCACATTGCAAGCTATTTCATTGAACATTACGACAATTTTATCGTTTCCTGTTTTGAATACTAATAGTTAGCTCCCTATGGGTTTGACCTCGGATTTAGCTATCAAATTGTAATATTTCATAGTTAAATCTGAGGTCAAACCCATAGGGAGCTAACTAGTGGTATTCAAAATAGGAAACCATAAAATTGTCGTAATGTTCAATGAAATAGCTTGCAATGTGAGCTTAAAATTATCAAATAAACACTTAACTAAAATTTTGGATAGCAATGATAAAAGGTACTCTTTAGTTCAGAGATCCAACATGTTTCATATTATTTGTTTATGAAAATGCTATCTTTCAACAATTAACTCCCTTTTACTAAAAAGTTAACCAGTAGGTTTGATGTATAACTAAACCATATCACAGTAACTAGTTAGGCTAGTTGGAAGGTCTATGTATCGTGCAAGAATCAAATAACCCTAGTAAACTCAAAGGTGAATCATTCAAAATGTTTACTTCATCTATTAAATCGGCAGGTTAATAACTCAATGACGACAGAGTTTCAATTTATGCATTAAATCAAAAGCATTGGCCATGTCGGGATTCAACCCATCTATAACCAATCTCCTGAGTGTTACATAAATCCTAATTGTGTGCGCCACAGTATCATGCATTAAATACACAGTTATTAAAGATAGAATGGCATATAGCATTAGGCTTTGCTAGGTGTTTATAACTATGATTATATTATAATAGTAATCATCTATCAATTAAGGGAGTTATAAACATTAATGCATAAAAAAACATTGGCATTTTCACAACTTAAACTATATCATACATGCATTCACCCTTTACCGAAGAGTATAAATGGACTACTCACACATCATTGCTATAGATGAGCAATAGGAGTGGGACAATCCCATTACAACCGAAAACAAAATACATAATGTCCTTCCCTGAGAAATAGCTGAAACAATGCCACTATTCTTACCAGCTAGGGCACAAAAGTGAGAAAGGTTCAACCTTGCAAGTAGAAAGGATAAACAGAAATGAAGCAGTATAGAAAATTTTGGCTGATAAGTGATTAAGGCAGGGCTTCACTCTTCCATTCTTCTCTTTTGCACTGAATTGAACTCTAGTGAATACCCCTGAAAAATTGTTGAAGCTGACTATTTATAGGCAACAAAATGAGGCAGTTAGGTGACAGACACCCATGCTGACCAATCAAGGTGTTTTGTTTCTCAACCGGACCAATGGGAGAGAGAGAGATTTGAGGCAGTTTAAGCACTGTCTGGACACCACCACCACCGTTCGGAAGGTGGCAATTCTCTGGATTTTTGCCTTGGTAGCCTCCTTTTTGACTTGTTGATTCTTTAATTCCACTTACCTCCCTTGTTTTGTTTAGCCTTTACACTTTGATCCTCCTAAACATCCATATTTATGCTTGAAACCTTGCAAAAATGTACAAACGCATTAACCCTAATAGTTTATAAATTAATCACTTTAAATTAATTTACACCCATAATTAATCATAAAACCTAATTCATTTATGCACTATTTAGGGTTAATCAGTAAGCTCTACTAGAATTTGCCAAATTAGCAAATGGGAGATTTCGCCTTTCGCTTGCTAGCCTAGGCGAATTCCTTCATGAACTTCCATATCAACAATGCCACGTCCATCCTCTTCCTTGTCATAAAGGCATGGAGGAGTGCGAGTTTATCTTCCCCTGGGGTTTTCTCTGCACCTTGGGGCAGGAGATTGTAGTGTAACACCTTGTTCATCACCCCGTACAAATGCTTAAGGGCCCCAACTTGAATTTTTCCTTTGAATTTTTGGGGCCCTCATACATCAACTGTACATACTCTGGGAGTGATTTCCTCCCTTGGACATTGTAGGGGTAGACTGGGGAATTGGCTGAATGTTTATGATACTTCATCAAATCTGCAATCAAACAAGGAATAACCTCTATGCCCTTTCCCCTCACAACTGCCATAAGCAAATAAATATATTCATCCACTACCCTCAAATTTTGATAAAATTTCCAACACTTTGGATGGTTATACCCCTAACTTGATCAAACCAAATATGAATCTCATACCTTTTGATCACCCGCACTACCACATCATAGGGAGGGCTTGTCCATGTGACGCTCGCATGTCACATTCTTTTCCTCAATGTTCTCCATGTGAGCATTGTTCTTTTGTTTTGTCCTCCTCTCCCCACTTCCACCACTAGGCCTCGCCACTGTCCTTTTATGTTGTCTTGTGCTCGCGGGTGGTAAAGGATTGGGTTTCGTGCCTGAGGGTGGAAGGGGAGTTGGCCCCATTTGCTTAGTTCTTGCCATGTACACCAAAAATTCCCCAAGGGCCAAAAAAGACAAGATCCAACTCCAAAATTCTCTACAAAGGTCAGAAGGGACATGAGAATGCTTACCCAATCGAGCCATGACATTTGAATCCAGGCTTTTGATTAAAATTTAGGGTTATTGAATTTGGGGAAAGATTTGGAAAAATAAGGTTTTTGTGGAGAAATCCAAATGAAAATCAACCCTAAGGATGTTATTGAGGAGATTTGATGGATGGGTAAAGGATCTTTGGGGGTAAGAGAAGTTTTGAGGGTGTGGATAGAGCTTAGAAGATTGAGAGTTGTGGGGAAAATGAACAGTTACCCTAAGAAAACTAACTAAAAACTGTCAGTTTTCAGTTTTCTGCACAAACCCTACATGTAGGTTTTGTGCATTAGAAAATTCCCACCATTAGGTTTAGACAAACTTCTACCGATAGGTTTTAACTTTATTTTTTTTTTCAAAAAATCCCTGTGCTCTGGCTCTCAACTCCAATCCAAGTTTATTCCACTCCTATACTTCCTAATGACCTATTTACAACTTTAACCTCACAAAAACAACTGAACCGATGTGATTAATCCACAATTTAGTGACTATGCCTGAATTCATTTTCGAAATTGCAATGCAATTTGAATTTTTTATGCTTTCAAAACATATGACATGGATTACTACATTCAAATACCAAAATGAACACCCAATATGTAAAGCACAAATCTAAAATGTAAAGTCATTCCTAATCCTTCATAATATCTAAAGTTTGAGCAATATTCCCCAATCCTGCAAGCATAGGGTTACATGACAACACTGTTTAAATACCCGAACAAAGTACACATGAGCATCACCATGGCTTTAAATGCTATTATAAAGTATGCACTGACACACTCATTTTTAAACTCATGTGTGTGTGGAATGAATATGTAATTTAAACATTTACCCATTATAATTCATATTCGCTTAGCTATCAAAATTCAGCTTTGATGCAAACTCACCAAGGGTTTCTCTTAAAAATGAATAACACTATGATTATCCTGACATGCTCTCCATGTTTATACGTGAGATAGAATCTTGTGCACAAATTGAATTATGCTCACATATAATCTAAAAATGAAGTACATGTATAAAAATGAAACAACCTTGACATAATCTCATGAAAGGAATGTTAAGGTACTAGAAAGCTAAATCAACTTTTCTTTTTCCTTGAAATTATGCATTCTATAGATCATTTAGGACTTTTGAGGGTTGTAATGAGGCCTTTGGGGTGATATTGAGGCAAGTGAAATGAACGATAGAGGGGAACAAAGAGGGTTATTCTGAGGGGATGACCTTTATTGTAAAAAATTTCATTTTTTGTGGAATTTCCAGCTTAACACATTCACTTCACTCTTTGTTTCTTTTTCTTAATTTTCCTTTCTTTGCTTTTTCCACCCCTTTTTTTCCTACTTTTCCTGGATTTTTCTTTCTTTTCCATTCAACTTTTGAATTTGGCATCATTTATCCTCTTTTTTTTGGGTTTTTGCACCACTATTCCTTCTCTTTATGATCTCTCATGATTCGTATCGGAATACCCAAGGTGTGGTAATTTTTTGATTTTGAACTAGCTTGGTCAAACAAGTGGCATGGAAACAAATGTTTAAATTAGGATCAATCATGACACTAGGGATAAAATTTCCCAAGAAAAAGGCTAAGGCTCAAAGTAAATCAAATATGGCCTAAGATCATTTCTAGATAAGCATGGGAGAGCATAGTGCATTTCAAGATAAAGTCAATCAACTACCCAAATGCACTCTAACCAAAAAGAGCATAATGAGATTATTGAACAAATTTGGAATTTGAAAAATTGTTACTTGAGTAAATGTAAGTTCCCTCCAACAATGATTGGCACTAAAGCTCTCATTGGTACTTAATCATCTCCACTATTCATGTCAAACTCTAAAATGTGAAGTCAATCTGTAAATTGTCAAAATTACACATTCAAGGTGCACTTATGGTTGAGTTCAAAAGAAAACATGTATGTGATACTCTGGCATAAGATAAACTTCTATAATGTGCTAATGTATTCAAAGTTCAAAGCAAAGACCAAAATATCAATAAACTCATCACTTTGAATGGGGGAATATAGGTCACAAAAATTTTAAAAAATTTTCACATATTTCTCAACTATTCTAAACAAAACTCTATAGAGCATGTGAATGGTGAATTTCACCACAAAATGGTTTTATCAACAAAAACTTTCCACAAAACTTTGGTGTATCCTACAAATAGTGCACCTCACCCCCCCCCCCAACTTGATTCATGCATTGTCCTCAATGAAACAAAAAAGATATGAAATTCAATGAAGGACTTAAAAAAAAATAAGTAGGGTTAGAGAACACCTTGCAATGAGTGTTTGACAAACAACACCACAATCTGCACATTTTAAAAGAAAACACTATGCAAAGGTGAAAGTAAATAAAATATTTAACTAGGTCCGGGTAAATAAAAGAGGGTAATTGTACACTAAAATCTAGTTGGAAAGTTATTCCTCAATTAGGTCCGGGTAAACCAGATCCACTAACTCCTCCTTCAGTATTTGAACCTCAAAACCCTCAAAGAATGGCTTAAGTCTTTGGCCATCGACCTTGAATATTTTGCCATCTTGGGGTTTGTAATTTTCACGACTCCATTGGAGTATACCACCTTGACAAGATAGGGGTCATCCCAACAAGATCGAAGTTTTCCTTGAAAAATAGAGACTTAAGAATTATAGAAGAGCACTTTTTGTCCTGGCTCAAATATTTTTCTCATATTGGATTTATCATGAAAGATCTTTGCCATCCCTTTGAAAAATTTTGAGCTCTCATATGCATCTCTCTGGATTTCGTCTAATTCATTAATCTCCAACATCCTATTATCTTCGGCCATTCTCAAATTGAAGTTCAAGGTTTTGATAGCCCAATAAGCCTTGTGCTCTATCTCTACCGGCAAATGACAAGCCTTGCCTTAGACTAGCCTATAAGGAAACATATCTAGGATGGTCTTGTACGCGATGCGGTAAGCCCACAAGCATCGATCAACCAAAGTGACCAATCTTTTCAATTCGGACTCATTATTTTCTCTAGTATGTTTTTAATCTCCCTATTTTCCAACTCGTCTTGGCCATTAGTCTGTGGGTGATAAGCGGTGGACAACTTGTGTATTACGCTATATTTATGCATTAACCATGCAAATGACTTATTGCAAAAATGAGACCCACCATCACTTATCATTGCACGAGGTACCCTAAACCTTGAAAAGATGTTTTCCTTTAAAAACATAACCCCAAATCGAAGGTCATTGGTATTGTTTGGGATGGCCTCTACCTACTTCGACATGTAGTCCACTGCTAGTAGGATATAGAGGTAGCCAAAGGACATAGAAAATGGACCCATGAAGTCGATGCCCCAACAATCGAATATCTCAATGACTAGCACGGGGGAAAGGGGCATCATATTCCTATAGGTCACACTACCTAACCTTTGACACCTATCACACTCTCAACAAAATGAAACACATTCTTTGATTAAAGAGGGCTAATAAAAACCAGATTGCAAAACCTTAGCTGAAGTTTTCTTTAAAGAGAAGCGGCCACCGCATGCCTTAGAATGGCGGAATGAAAGGGCATCCTATTATTTATTTTTTGGTACACATCTCCTCATGACTTGATCTGAGCAATACTTAAACAAAATATGAGTTGTCCAAGTAGAAGTACCTCACATTTGCCATGAATCTTCTTTTGTCCTCTGGGCTCTAATGTGGTGGTATTTGTCCTGTGGAAAGATAATTATAGATGTCTGCATACGCTCTTCAGCATCTTGGACAACAAGTTGGAACAAATGGTTTGCCACCACATTCTCCACTCATTTCTTGTCTTTAAAAGTCAAGTTAAAATCTTGTACAAGGAGGATCCACCTAATGAGTCTCAGTTTCGCGTCCTGCTTAGACAAAAAGATACTTCAAAGTAGAGTGATCAGTGCATACTACAATAGACGAACCAATGATGTATGACCTAAATTTGTCCAATGCAAATACTACGGCTAGCAACTTTTTTTTGGTGGTGGTGTAATTTAGTTGTGCTTCATTCAGAGTCTTGCTAGCACAGTATACTACATACTATTGTTTTGCTTCCCTTTCACCGAGCAATGCGCAGACCGCGTAATCACTCACGTCACACATGAGCTCAAATGGGAGTTCCCATTTGGGTGGTTGCATAATTGGAGGTGAAGTGAGCATGCTTTTGAGTTTTTCAAAGAAGCCTCACACTCATCCGACCACATAAAGGGAACATCATTTGCTAGCAAATTGGTAAAGGGCCTTGCCAATGAACTAAAATCTTTTATAAATATACGATAGAAACTAGCATGGCCAAGAAATGACATGATATCCTTGACAATCTTTGGATTGGGGAAGTTGGAAATTGCTTCAACCTTGGATTTTTCTACTTCGATCCCCTTTTTCGATATGATGTGCCCAAACTCTATCCCTTGTATCACCATGAAGTGGCAAGTTTAGTACCAAATTCTTCTCCTCACATCTTTCAAAAACTCTCTCCAAATTTTCCAAAACACCCTCAAATGAGTCCCCAAAATCTAAGCAGTCCCCCATGAATTCCTCTACAATCTTCTCCACCATATCACTAAAGATCCCTATCATGCATCTCTAAAAGGTTCCAGGGTCATTGCACAACCCAAATGGCATTCAGCGATAGGCGAAGGTACCGAAGAGACACGTGAATGTTGTCTTTTCTTGGTCCTCCAAAGCAATCCCTATTTGGTTATGCCCGGAGTAGCCATCCAAGAAATGATAAAAAAGATGTCCGACTTCTCTCTCTTGTACTTGGTCGAGGAATGACAAAGGAAAATGATCATTCCTTGTGCATGAGTTGAGTTTCTGATAGTCGATACAAACTCTCCATTCAGTAACCACCCTCATCGGAATCAACTCATTCTCTTGATTTGCTGCCACAGTGGCCCTCGACTTCTTCGGCATTGCTTGGTATGCAGAAGCCACTGCTTGTCCAACTTGAGAGTAGAAAGTAGTGGCTTCAACTCCAAGTTTGGTGTTTGTACAGTTGATAGGAAAATTTT